ATTTATTCACCCTCGCACAACACCTTCAAGTAGCAAAGTATGGGTAGCAACCAAGGTAAAGGTAAACAAAAGAAAAATGTATAAAGAATCAAAGTCGAGTAGTGGTAAAAAAAAGAGATGTCTTTTGGGCGAAAAACTCACTTTAATTAGTTTCCTTTTATTAGTTTTAATAATAATTAATTTCGAATTGTTTCCTTCATTAATATTAGTGATAATAAATAAATTTTGAATTTTTCTTCTCTTAATAACTTTAGCAATAGATAGTTTCGAATAATTTCCTCATATTAGCTAATCCTGTAAATAAATAATTTCTAATAAATAATTTCGTGCGGCAATAGGGATAAGATACGCCAAAAGCAGTAATATATCTCTATTGTTGTATTTCTGTAATAATTTTAATAATTAATTTAGTGCAGGAGGAAGCAAAGTGTTAAGATACGCCAAAGCAGTAATATATTGTTATTGTTATACTCCTACATGAAATTTTAATAAATTTTAATAAACTATTTCGTATTTCTTGGCAAAGTTGCATTAAAAAGTCTATTTCAGTTTGGTAGTGTGCAAGCAGTAATAAAGATATTTTACTCCACTTGCTCATCGTACCTTCAGATATTACACGTTTGAGAGTGTTAGTAAGCAGGTTTAGATCGACTGATTGCCTGATCTTACTGTGTTTCGCACAAGAGAAGTGTGTTAGTGATACATTGAATTATCGTGTAATTATCCTAAACTTATTGAGACTGATTTGCGTAACTTTCCACATTGTTCTGCTCAGACCGCGACAATATATATTTATTTATTTATACTAAAATAATGACTATCGAACCATTAAAAGGTGGTTGGATATTAAAATAAATTGACCATGATCTATCGAGACTATTCTAGGCACTGACCAAAAGATCTTCTGAACTAAGATGACTAGTCTTTGCCTCACACTTGTGGTAGTAGGATCTTCTGGACTAAGATGACTAGTCTTTGCCTCACACTTGTGGTAGTAGGATCTTCCTCTTTTTTAATCCAATTTTCGTCATATGGATATAAAACGTTATTTTGTGCCTTGTGTATATTGGTAGAACTCCTCTTCGGTATTTTCGTTTCGGCTGTGATGGTTTTTGTCACAGTGGCAGCTCCGAGCCTTGTCTGAAAGAGGTGTTGGCTCAATACAAAAATATTTCAAAGAAAAGGTTTCCTTCTTTTTGTTTTATAAATAGCAATCAAGTAGATGATAATCACGTCTCTTCAGATATCTTTAATCTTTAAAATTTTCTT